ATATATGACACTTGTACATAAAATATCTTTATTGACGTAAAAAAATTATGCAAACTAAAACAACAACAAAAACGCACGAATTTTTTATTCATTCGGAAAATGCACAGTTCGTATGCCATTTGAAAAGATCGATTTTTGTGATGAGATGCGCACTATGTATAACTGTATATGCACGTGAGGTCAAAAATACGAGTTTGGTGTACAATAAAAAGAAATAAATTAATATTTAGTTACTTGTGTATCCTACGGGGCAAGGATTCGGCGGCGTGCAATATGCGGGCAGAGTACTCTCCTTCTCGTCCTTGATGTTCTTTATGCTTCCAGGCTTAATTCTTTGTCTACCACCTGCATTATCATCATTGTTTAGGTGTTGATGACTCCACAAACTGCTATGCTGCAAATACTCCTGATCGCGAATGCTAGGATTCGGATTCAATGTGTCGATGCCATCGTAATCGGGAATTTCGATAGGAATTTCTTTCGCTTTATCTTGATATTCCAAATAGGAATCGCCTGTGTCAACTAAATCGTTTCCCATTTGATTAATTAATTCTCGGAGAAGAGTGTCGGTGAGCAACTGTTCATCCTAAAATTGAAATTTAAGTAATAAAAAAAAATGGGGAACGAAAGGAAAAGGGATGTGTTGCACGTGATATATGTAAAAGCATTTTGAATTAAGTAAGGCATATAGTGTAAGGCGTAAAATAAATGCATAGAATCAATCGAATTGTTACGTAGAATGTACCTTAAGTGGTGGTCGCAAGTGTATCGATGCTTGAACCGCAACGGCCATGGAAATTAGGAACCAGTACATCGTTTGAGATATCTAAAAAGCAGTACATAATAATAAATATGTAGATATTTATTTGTATAAAAATAAAAAGAAATTGATCATTATTACGCATTTTATTTGTTACAAAATATATTGTGTATGGAACTATAATGTGTCTCACTTCTATATATGAAATTAATGAAAATGTCAGAATTGATGATGCTAAATGATCACCAAACTTACCAAAAATCGTGGGACAATCACAAGAGGGAATCGCGAAGAAGATTGCGGAGACGCAGCAAATACTCGGGTTCTTGCACACGCGTTGTTCTCCAAACGGAAGCGGCGCTGTGCTCGTTCAGGATTGAAGTATTGATCCGCATTCTCCGCGCCGCTTTTCCACCCGTGTCTGACCACGATACGAAAGCTCGCGCAACTCATATCCGTAATACGGATTTACAATCAAAGGTCGCCCCACGGCCGAGCTTCGTAACGTCGAATCTGCGGTTTATGGATAAGCATTTGGATCTCACTGGCTTCACGTACGTGCATGCACGCACGTGACCTACCGGTCTCTTCTGGATCTTTCATTTAATGAGATAATTATGCTGGGAATTTTTGTAAAGAATTTTGCTATTTATTCATTAACTGTAAAGATTAACGAAGATCTTGGTATATTCGAAAATTAGTGTAAAGGAGAATCGCTTTGCATTCGTATTTAAAAATGTATCGCCATTATTTCCTTCACCTTCCTATTTTTCTCATTTGAATGATTAATATAAAAAAATAAAAACCTCTGTTTTTTTATGACCATTTTTTAACATAAAATGAAGATTACAAACTGTTTTTTATCGGGTAGTGTTATGTATCGGGCTAGTAATTTATAAATAGAGCTGGCAATCTTTACGAGAGGAGGATCAGAGATCACAAGACTTCTGATGTATTCATTACGGTCACATATACGTATGTATGTATACTTTCATTGACAATTACCATCTCGCTTTGTATAATTTTGATTCAATTTCTAAAATTAAAGTACTGTGATGTTCCTGTCCATTGACTGAAAGTACTCTCTTTACTGAATCTTGTCTCACCCACAAGGAGCATACAGCCCTTTCTACAAATCATCCCTTTCAACCGAACAACTGCATTGTAATGTCATTCTCCTCGAATAGAATCTGGTAGTTTGTCTATATTTATTATTCTATATTATTTTGCAATTTATACACATAATATTCTGACTATGAATTATACGTTAGATTACGTCTATACAACTTCCTAATATTTGATCTTCATGTGTATACATATATAGTAGTCGATGACGGTTTTAATAAGTAGTAAAAACTTAATAGACAGAGTATACAGGGGAGTTACAGTAACTATTTCGATTAATACTCGAGGTAACTAATTGAAAATTACGCAAGTTAATTTATGTAATAAATGTCTCCTTCATAATCATTTATATATAAAAATGAAGTACAATTTTGTTCCGAGAAATGAGATTTCTATTTATAAGTCGTAAAGAATTACCTTCCATTTCCGATATTTTTCATCACCCAATAAATATACGTCGCGAAGAAAAAATACGAGGGTGAAAAGAAGAAAATGAAGTGGGAGATTATATCGTTCAATAAGAAGGAAATAAAAGAAACGTTATCCGATTATTGGACGCAGCTTCTTATTTCAAATCTAGTTACTGATCTTCTTGATTCCACTTGTTCGGAAAACAATTGTACACTGCACATTAAACACGTTTTACAGTTGAAGAATAATATTACATTACTTCATTCCTGTTGAACGTTCAGAAAATTTTGAAAATAACAATTCCTCTGACGTCATCGGCATAACAAATTCATGAAAATGTTTTTAAGCTGAAAGAGTGCTATCAATGTGAATATATGGTGACGAATTGTCTGATAATACTATGAGTGTCCTCTATGGTCCTCTGCTGTCGTGTCACTACACGTTCGACCTGTCACTTGCCTTAATGGACATCGTCATTGGCAGCTAAATGATCAAAAACCATTTGAGGGACGCACGCTACTCCACCTGGCAAGGGACTGAGTTTTTATCTCACCTCATTTCCGTGTCACGTCCTGATGTACATCTCTGATAATATGGATCGTCACGGAAGGGTAGATTTATTTTTTGAGCTACATTAAGATTGTTATTCTTTATACATATATAATTATAAAAAGAGTGATAAATTTCCAATTGTTATATATTCTTTTTATGTAAAATCTTTATATATATTACCTTTAACATAATGTAAATTATATAGAAAGCAACAATAATACAAGAACTAACACACTCGTCATCTATTGATGTTATTATAACATATAGAATGAAATGAATTCTAACTTAAATTTCAGGCAATTGTTTTTACTTAATTATCCCATGTGCTTCGATGTTGTGCAATATGTTCTTTGCTTTCGTCTTCCAAATACATTTGCATGAAAAACTGCACATTTCTAGAGAGGAACATTTGTTCAATTAGAGTTTGATCTGGTAATTTCTGGTTGACTGAGGGAGTAAAAACTGTGTCAGTTAATTTTAATGCAAGAATGCATGAGATACGTATTTTGCCGGTCGCGTGGCAGCTGGCGCGGCGTTCTCGAAAGCAAATAGGCGACGGGGAGTAGGTAGTTACGCTATGTTTCGTCGTCACGAGTATTGATCTCAGCAGAACCACTGTGTGAATGAGCTATAACCGTCTCACCCTGGATCCTGGAAATGCGGATTCCTATTCCTCTCCCACAAGATTCATTCTCCCTTTCCCCTCCATGGACCTTTAGCGCGGATCTAGGTCCGTTTGATATGGGAATTACTGAGTTCCAGCATTCTCGATGCTATGATTATATGTTCTTCGTCTTTTAAATTAAAATAGAATATCTTTTAGACTAAAATAGAATATCTTTGATATTACTTTCTTCATGTTTGCCTCTTTTCAATCACGAGTCGTGTCACCCTTCTTATCAATATTCCATTTCAGTCTACTACTGTTCATACTTTCATATTAGTTGAAACTTTTTGTTTTTATTTTATACGATTCACAGATAAATTGTATTACAGGAAATACAAAACGATGTAAAAAATGGTTTTAAATGTTGTACAATGTTTTCATCATTTTTATTATTATTTCATTTAAGTTAGTTACTTATTAGACAATTTATTTTCATATTTTATCTGTGATCTAATCTAACAATATTACGCATTTCCGCATACGATTTTTGCTCGGTGACAATTGCTTCCCTCATTTGAAGCGAAGTCACTCGAAGTTAAATCGATTTTTTCTGCTCCTTCATGCGGACCTTTTTTTTACAACAGTAGCATCCTTTCTCCGCTTTTACTCATCGTCCTTCTCCCCCTATTGAAAAGACCCTCGCGGTGTGGTGCACTACAGCCAAAACACATTAACATATTTGCTCGACCCTCAATTTCGATGTTGGACCCTTGCTCCAAATTAACGAAGTTATACATCGAGGGACTGAAATCAGTTTATCATCAACCTCCCCTACAAAAACTTGTGTCCAACAAATTTTAACGAAACACTGCTTTCATATACAAATTGCTCCCTTTTAATTAATAAAAACAACTTGTTCGAGTTTTGAGCATGGACATTTAGTTAACTTCAGGTATAATTTGCAATCTAAGTTTTCATATCGCGGCGAATGTTAATTGTCTATTGTGAATAGGTGAAAGTCAGATTCTCTTAAATTATGTGAGAATAATTTAAATATTGTACGTGGTTCTCGTGACATGACTGAAGGTATTGTGCATACAAGATTTGACGCTTATCAAAAGTTTATGGTAATCAGAAAAATTGTAAATTTGTTGTCTAACCTTTTTATACTTTATATCATAAATTAAATCACATCCTTACACTTTTAAGTGACAGTCAAAATAGAATTGATAGTCCAAATTAATCTAATTTCTATTTAATACAATTTTAAAAATCTTTTTGTTTATTATTCTATTCACTCGTCGACGTTATTTCCAACCGTATTAAAAAAAATCTGTAGTGCAACCACAGCAATGGAGTGCTCGATTTCATCGCGTTGGGCTCGAGCCTGGATAGCGTCAAGCCGCTTTTGGGTCTACGGTTGGAGAACACAGTCCATTCGTTGCTCGAGGACTTCGTTTGTAAATCGAATTCGCGTTACGCGAAACGATTTCCACGATTTAAGAGACTGTTGGACGCGGTGGCTGCGTGGTCTGACTGCTTCGACTCTTCCGCCAAGGACACGAGTGTCAGGCGAGAAATGATTAAGCACGCGATCGATTATCTGGTGAAGAACGGCCTGGTGACACAGTTTGGGGACCCAGCCGTTCTCAATAGCGGCCCGAATAAAATGGATCCAGAGACATTACCAGATCAGAACGCCTTACAGAACGTCTGGCGGTTTATTAACGAGAAGGATTTCTGGCAGAACCGAGATTGTGTGTTAGTATTATGAACGATTGGCATGGTAAAAATTACCAATAGAATGCAGGTTTTATACAAAATTTATGGGTCAGTTAAAAAATTGTATTTAAATTGGAGACATTTTTCTTATCATTTAAATATTGCAGTATGCACTCGTGCTTAATTATTAAAACCCGTTTTCATGAGTTTCTTAATATTTTTCAAGTTTCATGAGTAAGTTTGGTTTTTATTCACAAAGATTACTCATACAAATACCAAAAAAAACATTTCAGGATTTCTCCTCAATCATCGACTAAGAAAGTGAAAAAGTGTAAAATGTATATTTATAAAATCTCCTATATCTTTCAAATTTCATCACATAGCGACTTGGTTTTCGTTCATGAAACATTTCTATTCTATACATTTTCGATTCTATACACGATAATTAATACGAGCGAAGCCGCGATGGAACCAATTTAATTTCTATGGCGAACATTCTTTATATCGATATCCCCTATTCATAAAATCGTATCTCAGCAGACTTATGCAATATAATCGTATTTCACGGATATTTCAACACGATAATGCAGCGAAGTTTGAATTACAATCACGTTGTACGCTGCGCTCAAGAACAATCTTGTTGCATCAGTATTCGAGTTACGATCATCTTGGATTATCCGTAAAATACGATTGCATTGCGTAGGTCCGCCAAGATTCAATCTTATGAATAAAAGGTGTCGATATCTTCTGCAGACACAATTTTTTTCATAAATGCATAAAATTCGTAGTCTAATTATCAGAAACAAGGGACTAAGTTTTTACTCAAGTATAATAATCTACAATACAAAATTGTAATTAAAATAAAGAAAATCATTGCCGAACTATCATAATAATAAACTAATCAGTATATTAATATACTCGTTTTATTTTGTTATTTTAATGTTTGATTATTTTCTATAGGGGTACTTCAAAAGGACGAGCAGGAAACGCACAGGTCAATCAATCCGTGAAGGAATTTTCCAATAGCGATTTGGATGTTGAAATCGGATCAGTTTCACAAGAATCTTCAACTTGTTACAATACCTGTAGAACAGGCTCCGTCTGTTGTCCAGCTAATAAAAAGATCGAGAATGCAAAATCTGTTCAGGTACAAGTTTGTTGTCAAGACGTCGGATGCGTCTGCGACTTAAGCGTGAATAAAGTGGTCAGTCCCAGAAAAGAAACTGTAGATTGTTTCACCAATACGCACTGTCCAAGTATGAAAAATTTTCAGAATACCGCGAATATCAAATGTGATTGTGACATAAAGATGAATAGCGATAAGTCTGTGCAGACACAAAAATATTCTCTCGTAAAAGAAAATATTAAGAAATTCGATATGAATACGCAATGCGACTGCGATAAAAAAATGAATAATACAAAAATCGTGCAGACGCAAAATACTTGTTTAGCCGGGAGAAATGTGAACAAAATTAACATGGATACGCAATGCAATTGCATGACAACAACTGACAATAATATGCCTGTACAGACTCAGATGAGTTCTCCGAGGCAGAATTTGATAAAATGTAACATGAGTGCACAATGTGACTGTGTTATGAAAATTCCCACAAGATTCGCACAGACACAAACTAGTTCTCCGAGAAGGAATACTGAAAAATTTGATATGAATACGCAATGCGATTGTCCTGCAACAGTTAACTGCAAAAGCTTTTCACCGACGCAAACCAGTTCCCCGAGAAGGAAGAGTGGAAAATTTGATACCAATACGCAATGCGATTGTCCTGCAATAGTTAATTGTAAAAACTTCCCACCGACGCAAACCAGTTCTCTGAGAAGGAATATTGAAAAATTTGATACAAATACGCAATGCTATTGTCCTTCAACAATTAACTGCAAAAGCTTTTCATCGACGCAAACCTGTTCTCACGACGTAAACTTTGTTTTCAATCGGGATCAAAATGCATTAAATTCTCTAAACAGAGTGTATGAAATTTGCGATAAACCCAAACCCTTCCCAAGAAAAATGAACATGAACAGATTAAATGCGATGCCATGCGATTGTAACCCGTTTCACGGAAACTCGAAATTGAAAGTTCGCGTTCACAGAGCGACCAGCACTAACTGCCCCAGGCTTCGGGTTCCAAGAGTATCGAGCATATCGCTGCCCTGTAGCTCGAGTCAGCTGATTGTCCGATTATTCGAGGCGGATCCGTCGCTTTCCGACTCATGTTTAGTTTTGATGAGAAAGAAATTCGAGAAGGACATCAACAACGCGTGTTCCTGCGTGAACGACATCCTAAGGAAGCTAGGGGACTCTATGATAAAGCGGTTATGCTTGAACTGCGATATTCGGCCGGGTCGCGTCGATTTGAATCTCGTGTGCAAAGACAAGGGGCCATCAAAGACCAGATGGTTTCTCGGTCGAGTTCCGACTTGTAGCAATGTCCAAAAATTAAATAATTCTTCAGCTGATCTTAATAAATGCAGTGAGCAGTTCAGTGATCAATTTGGCTCTTGTCTTGCTTGTCGATCAAAAATTCCTACTGTTGATTTTATTTATTGCAAAGGTGGAATGAAATGTAATGAAGAATTCAAGGAACAATTAGATCCTGTTTTGGATCGATCCTTAATGCACGACAATTCTCGCAAACGCAATTTGTTTTGCAATAGACAAGAAAGAAGGATGGACACGAGGGTTTGTCCCTTTAAGGAACTTCCTGTTGAATCCAATTTTTGTAGGGATAAGACGAAACGCGAGGAAAAATTCGATACAGGGCGAACGACTTTCTACCCTGTGTGTTTGACTCCTGACAAACAGAACTGTGTGAAAAACGAAATTGGAAAGGAGGGAAGAGGAAAGGAGGTCAGTTTTATATGGTCTAGGAACAAACAGATGGATTTTGTGTTTTCCTCGCGGATGAATTTGCAGAGTAACGATGATTTTATTTTCTCCTCCGAGGCGTGTATCGACGAGGAAAATTGCGATATTTGTATGAATAATGAAAATTTAAATAAAAACAGAAAAGGAAGAATCGTAAAAGAATGTTGTAAAGGCGAAGAAATCGATGCGGAGAGGATCGGAATTGGGGGCGACAGATTTGTAATAAAGGATCATGAGAATGGAATGATGGAACTGTGCGATTGCAATTGCAATTATTCTTCGGATAGTTTGAAGGAGAATTTTTGTAAAGAAGATAATTCGGTAACGGAGAATTGCAATCCTGGACAATGTTCCTGCCACATTTTTTGCGTTAATAACAGTGATTTGGGTTCAAGGAAGACTGTAAATTGCGGGTACAACTTTGAGAAAGATGAGGACACCAATTTCGAAAAAGATCAAGATTCAAATTGCGTCTTCTGTCGCTTATTGCAAGAAAACAGTTCAAAATTGGAGAACTCTATTGCCAAAACGGAAGAACACGTGTCGGAAATTAAACATGACGTGCAAAAGACAAACGGCATGAAATTGGAGCCCACTGCAAAAACGGAAAATCGAGTGTCGAAAATGAAACATAATGTGCAAGAGACGAACAGCATAAAATCGAAGCCTACTGTAAAAACGGAAAAACGAGTGTCGATAGTTAAATACAACATGCAAGAGGCAAATAATTCAGAATCGAAGACTATTTCGAAAACGGAAGAAAATGTGCCGAAAATTGAATATAACGTGCAAGGGACAAATACTTCTAGTTTGGCAATAGAGCAAAAAGTTTCAGGTCGAGAACGAGATAATTCTGTCTCAAAGAACGTTACTTTTCAAGGATTAGAAGTAAATTCGTTTTATCTGAACGAAACGGAGGCTCATTTGGACGCAGAAAAACAATACAGCGACGATTCTATATCCCCTGCATATCCGAATTCTTCCGATAACAGTTTTGATGCAAAATGTTCCTATTGCGGTGTTAATCTTTCTAATCCTGTGTTTGACGAGAATATTAATACCGAGAACGAAAATTCTGAGAAACCAGCTAATAAGCGTGAGACGCACGGTCTCGTTCCAAAGGCTTCTGTAGTTTTGAAATCACAGGAACTCAAAGAGAAACATTCAAACATTAATAAGAAATCAAGTACACTTTCTCTTCATGATCAGAGTACAAATGTTGATAATGAATTAAAAACGGGAACAGAAAAAATTTCCGAGGCTCCCAAAGAAAATATAACTGTGTGCAATTGTGTTCAAGAAAGCGAATTTATTAAAATTCCTCCAGACTCTTTAATCGGAAACGATAATTCGTCGACCACAGAGTCCCTGTTCGTATTTTGTAGATCAACTATAAAGTCTTCATCGGTATCTGATTTTTCTACAGAAGATGAAAGCTCCTCTAATAAGAATTTCGGAACAACGGATTACGACGTATGCAGAAAATTGGCGAGCAGACGCGCGATTTCGAGATGTGAATCGCCTAAACGGAAGTACTCTACCGTGTGCGCTCCTTCGCAATCGCAAAAAAATCGTTTGTTGCGCGAATCGAAAGTGGCCAGCCGCCTGTGTGACTCTTTCCCAGCGATCAATCGGATTAAATACTTGATCCGCAAGAAATTAGGAAGATTGTTGTTGGAGGAACGAGATAAGGGAACCTGTACATCGAAAACGTTTCTGAGGAACGACAGGTACCTCGTTAGTATCTCGAGTGGAAAATTGAATAAGGGACGGGTGATTCGTGATTCCTGTTCCGTCGATTCCTCGTCCCGCTGTCCATTCACGGCCAGGAATCGATACGAACCTAGCGCGGCGCCCGAGAAGACTTTCACCGAAGGATGCGCATTGAAAAAGAACAGGAACGCTTTCAGAGATATCAAAACCAGATGCCAGAGAATGATTCGGAGCAACGATGTGCTTAAGAAGATCGGCGTAAACGGGGCTTCCGCCTATCCGGAGAAGTGTGGATCGAAGTCGACCGACACGCAGGATCTAATTGGTGAGAGAAAATGAATTCTGGAGAAAAAACATTCTCAATTTATAAAACAGAATCAATAAAATAAATCTTAGAGAATAAGAAACATTGTTATAAAAATGTTTCCTTTTTCTCTTTCATTGCATTTCTTAGTTGGTTCAGAAACTCAGTATTAAAGATGATATAATATTAAGACATTTAATCAATTAAGACTCGAAATATAACACAATTGTTATATACGTATATACAATTTTTTATAAATATTTTTATGAATCTTAACGTGAAATTAAATGTAACAATGTTAAACAAATCCCTAATAATTTTTTTTATACACAAAAACCAAAAGATATAATTTAGATAATGCAAATGAACGCAATTTGGATTAAAATTAAATAATAAAAATTGATGAAAATTAATTATTAAATAGGATCTTTATCGAATTTTTTTATTAATTGAATAGTCTGTTCAATAAAGACAGGCTTCAATGCCTACTAGCATGTCTATCTCATTTACCCAATTATATGTTTATAGGAAAAAAGAAACTGAAAACTAGAAATAGGGAAAGTTGTTTCATTGACTCCACTATCAACAATACCAAAACCCGGAATCATTTAAGTATCTTATCATTGAATTCCGGGAGGATAATTTTTGTCGAAGATCACGGAGACCATTCGTCAAGCCGAAAGTTGTGTCACGAAAAAAATCGAACTTCAAAAGAAGACAAGAAGTTGACTTTTGATTCGAAGTTTGGAAGAAATCATTGCAAGCGTCCCCTCGGAGGTACGTGCGAGAGCGTGAAAAATGGGAAGGCAATGGTCGCAGAGGACAGAACATGTTCTGACAAACTGAGATCGTTCGAGAAACGTTTGTTCGAGCTCGAAAGGAAGCGTGAAGAGGATATCAACCTCACGAATTTCCTCGACGATTATGAAAGGCGCATCAGCGAGTTAGACGCGGATTTCAGATTGAAATTGTTGCAATATGTGGCGCTCTGTAAGAGTGTCAAACACTCGTTGATGAAGAGAATAAAGCCCTATGATGTTTAGCTTGAGTTTATATTCAAATCAATAACCGACGTTTCCGAGTTATCTTATTATTGAGATTTTCTATTTGGAATTTTTAACTGGTTTAGCATTTATAAATTATGTTATCCTGAAGATTTTAAAGATATTGTATTTTATGTTTTAGCATAATAAAATGTTCCAATAACTTCGATCCCTTCTATTGACTTTTTTCTAGTCTTCTCTATACGAATACTTATTCATTAATCTAACATGAATCATCACTGATTACATAAACTACACTAAACTTGAGTGAGCAAAAAATTAATTTTCTATGTACATAGCATCCAATAATTTTTTATTAGTATAATAAATGTGTCATCTACATGTGGTATGTATGAAAATATGTACTGATTTTGATAAAAATAGAATGTAAATACAGTTGTCAAAAAGGCAATTTCACTTCAAGTTGGATGAGGGACACTTACCACGTTCGAGGTTTACCACTTATTATGATAAAAATGATAGTGAAATCGGAGTTATTTAAGGCGTGCCAGCTCCAAGGAGAGGAGATAAAGTATTGTAGACCAAACCATCGAAAGCAGCAGCAGCAGCATCCATCCCTCGGGCCAGATCGATATTTCCTGGCAACCACCGGAGAGGGTGCCCACCCCTATGTTACTCTGTGTGTTTGTAACAATGCAAGTCGGCCCCTAACAGCTAGCGAAAGATTCGAGTCACCGACGTATTATCATTCTTTTTTATCTCGTTGATTCTCGACCGTGAAATATAACGACCTTCAATTCTATTAGAAAAAGCTAATTATATATTATTCAGAAAGGGAAAGCTCTCTGAAGGTTTATTTGAGTCTTGTAAAAAATTTTCAATTAAAAAAACTTCTAATATGTAGATTATGAAATTATTTGATTATATGTCTCATACTATCATATATTGCTTATATTTATCACATTGAATAAGAGAGTATATTATAGAGTATCTATAAAAAAGTGAAGAATACGATAGATATTAAAGTTGATAGACGAGAATAACTACGAATGTAGTGATAGTGATTTAAACAGTATTTTGTATGATAATTACAATTTGACAATGAATGTGAACGTTCTTGATTGTACCCAATTTTGATCAAGAAAGATTGTCAGAATTCATTTCTTAAAATTACAAAATTTTCATCTGATTTTAACTAAAAAACTCTAATTTTAATAATTTTCAATTTCGATTCAGCAAGCAAATAAATCTTTAATAAACGATCCTGTCGTTGTTTAAACAAAACGATATCGCGCTAGATTGATGGTGAAACGATAATATTAACGACGTACTCCGTTTTTATTAAATTTTATCACGCTCGAACATAAATCGAACGGTGAAACGAGCACATGAAAATAATAAAAACCATAAAACTTTGGTCTGAAGATCGTTCACAGCGTGACGTTATCTATTGCCGTGGAAACGGACAACGTCCTGTCAGCGAAAACGTGGCACGGGAGACGCTCTTCAGTAGAATCAGACAGTTTTAATCCGGCCATACATTAAGAGCACCCTGCGTTTTAAGCATCAGCTCGAGGATTCGGGATAGAAATATTTAAAAACATCCTGCATTTGTTTTGTCAGTACCTTTCACTTTCTTTTTCTACATTTTACGTTATATGTACACTTCTTTATGTGTACTTTATATATATTTTTATCTTGCAGACAATATGTATATCGTGCCATATTTTACAAATTGGGTAATCATACTTTTTAACATACTCTTATCATATGTGACACGTACTTTCTGATAATGAAATAATTAAAATCAATTTTCCATAAAATTATATAGAATCATAGGAAAAAAATACTATGAAATAAACACTATTTGTAAATATATCTATATTTTATTTATTGCCTCATTATATTTATGAGTAAATAATCATGCTCAAACAATAAAATAGTCTTTACAATTGATCCTAAGTTTATCTCATACAATATTTGACGGAGTGAAAATTAACTTAAGAGTAAATCATAAGTATAAAATATTTTCATCAGAACAGTATCATAATGTTGATGCAATCCATTATATTCGTTTAATGTATTTTTTTGGTTGTACTACTTGTATTGTATGTATGATTCCATCTTGTAAGTAAATACTTTATTTATGGCGTTGTACATATTACCACATATCAAATCAACTACACATTATAAACCATTAGTTTTAATTACTAATTGTAGAAGAATGTCTCCTATTTTCAAACATTGAGGTGTATCCAACGAATTAATCCAGCGACCACTGTGTGGGTGTATTAGGGAGCTAGGAAGTTGGCATTATTCAAATGAAGGGGTTAATTCGACGGATGAGTTAGAAGTCCTTACATAGGTAAACTAAAGGTGTATCAAGGATGTGCGGGCGTTAACGTTAATACTGTTACGATCCGGTTAGCTGCGTAACGTTTCATAGTGCATATCCAAGATCGGTTCGCTTTGCCGGGGGCGCATAGCCCCGCCTGGGGTCGATCTAAGGGTGTCTGAAGGCGATCTCGATTGGCTAGTGATATCGATGCGTCGGCCAATGTCGGCCAATGGCGTCACGACGCCGAGTTGCGCGGACGCTGTGACCGGGAGATGAGTTCGGCGGTACCCCGCCGCGCCGCAGCCGCGGACGCCGCGCCGTCAACGACGACGACGTCAGCCGACGTTCTCCGTCGCGTACCCCGCGCGCTACCCGCTACCCACTCCGCTCGTATCCATATCTGGACTTAATTATTGGTGAGTGACGCGGTCTATCTTTAATTATTTACATTGCAAAAAAGAAAAATGATTCTCCCGTTTTTCGGTTTGGGAGTTCTTAACAATGAATGTACAATGGTCACATTGGTTTCGAACCATCTGTGATCCGGGAGCTCGCGACGTCCTCCATGATAGGAATTTTCGTGAAACCGTGACAGGGATCTTGGAATCTTAGATCCGAATATATCATTCGATTCCGGGAACATGAAAAGTGAGGTGTTTCTATCAGGAAATTGGTAAGATTATAAAAATCGATTCGGCTAGAGCTTCCTTACAAGGACCGTTTCCTGCGTGAAATTCTTGATCCACTGTGGTTCCGAACGATACCAGGATTGATTTTTGAAAATTTTCGTATCGAATATACCAATAAGTGATTTAATTTCTGAAGTGTGTAAAGTGAAGTTTGTATATCAGAGGAGTTTCTTCTTTCTGGATGTGACTGTCTCGCCAATGGATCTTTTGTTTTACTTGTGAATTTTTGATTGATGTTTCTGATCGATGAAAGTGATTTTGATAATAGTGGAATTCGTATGAAAGTGTATAAATATCCGAGGAAAGAGCGATTCGATTGATGAATCGTGATTTTGCATGGATGCAACCAGATAGTTTCGTGCAAGGTCGGATCGTGGAAATGTCAGAGATCAGAAAAATGTCAGCGACTTTTTCGTATTGATCTGTCGGGGAAGTGTATCGGGCTCGAGGTCCATTTCATTCAACGGCACCCTCGTTTCCTTTCTGAAATTCTAAATGTGGTTCAATTTCGACCATTTTCAATTTTACCTGACTCTCACTTAATTTCGAAGAATTGTTTCACCAACTCTATTTTGTATGCTAAGTCTTCAATTTTGTAATTAATATAATTTCATAAATTTGTTGCCATTTTCGTTTGCCGATCACAACAAAAATCAATAAACCATCCAGTCGGCATAAGCTGAAACATGAACATAACAGAGCTAAAAAAAAAACATAGTATAAATCAGTATTTAAGGAAGGAAACGAAATGTGATTGTGGCAGATGCTACCAAAAGTTCGATGAAACTGCGATGTCTCGTAGCAAATGCAGCGAGTCCATTAAACGAAATTGGCTGTTTCCGTTTTCTTTTCACCCTAACTCGTTGGCACACGTGCTGTGCATTTTGTGCCTTTTGTGTGTCACGTGCCATTTTAATATCCGCAAACCATTGTTTCGTCGCTATGTCTCTCCTTGCAATCAACATCCACATATGCCAATCATTTCTCACCCCGTACGTTCAACAAAGCAAAAACCCTCTGCTTTTAACTTTTCACTAGATTTCTGGTAAAAATATGTGCAATCACATATGTTTGATTTATAATGACTTCAGCAATAGACTATGGTGTAAGTCTTTCATATATACTTTTATTATAATATTCAATTTGGACTCAGGACTCTCGAATTCTGTTATTAATTCTAAAAGAAATCATGATTCAATATAAATTTGTATAATTTTTATCAACTGCTACTGTTTTTTATGTTCCTTATGTTTATGTTTATAATTGTTCTAGCTTCTTACTTACAAATATCTATGTGGATAAAATCTGCAGTACAATAATTTAAAAAGCCAGAATATTCATTTAATTCATACATACTATTCCATTTTCTTATCGTGCTATGCTATTATCAAATTTTATGTTGGTACCTTTCCCCGTTTACTGCGACCCTTAACGCGCCACCCGATGTTTCGACTTAAATGAAAAATGCGAGCACCACGCTTTTTCTCGGATTTTCCAACCCTCGTGAAGACGCTCCCCGGAGAGTTCGGGGATTAGGGTTGAAGAGACCGCCACTTCAAATAAACACCCCATACTGCCCTGTGGGCTCCCCTTTGAGCCTAGATATCGAGTACGAGCATTCCTACATAGCTGAGGCTCGTGTCACTTAAATAATCGCTCGTTGAAGACGAATTCGATGCCAGAACATATAAAATCAATGGCCAAAATACTTTTTATATGATAGATTAAATATACTTAAAAATGTTCTATTTTTATATGATTTTTCAACCGTTGTGTTACGTTTCTGGAATGATAATCCTATTTTGAATAGAATCATAGGAAAATTGTGAAACAACAATATTTCGGTTTTGTGGAATCATTTAACGTTCATCATTAATTACAAATTATTATATTTACTTCTATCAAAATAACATGTAAGGAAGAACTATGACGGTATGCTTCAGGGGCTGCCGATTAACAACGCGACCACTTCCAGCCTGTAAGCAACCCCAATAATTGGAAAATGTCCGGATTTGCGGCAGCGGGCCTCGTGGCCTTCGACTCCATCAAGTCGAAAGCATCGCAAAAATTTGCTGGGTAATGTCACGCATGCTCGTACACGTCGTGCGACAGACGAAAAATCGTTTAAGGCTATATTTAGATCATCTAAATCTGACCATGCGCATAATTGAAGGCATTAAACTATCTAATTTTTCATAATTACTTGCAACGTACTTTTCCTAAAGATTTTCGTTAAATGTAGTTTTGAAACTATAATAATTTTCATATTTTTCAGTTTCAATTTTAATGTTTTTCTTCTAATAAATTTATCAGCAAACTTTTATTGCCAACAATGTGTTTTGATAAACAGTAGAAAATGAAAATATGTATTTGTTCCTTGATGACGATAAGTCTGATGCACATTTTGTTGACATATGTAACTCATGGCTTCAGATTCAGAAGAAGCAATGATGGCTACGAGGAATTCGAGATGCCCCGCGAAGGTAGCAAAGACAATAAGGGGTTCGAAGGTGAAAGACCATACAGTAGACAAGCCTCGTTTGAATCACTCCCGGAACCTGAACGACCTCCACTGCGCCATATCGATACTTATTGCAAACCAGAATGTCCTTGCTTATCGAAGAGATACACTATTGCCACACTGGCCTGCATGGGTAAATTTTGAAACAAACTTGTCAAATTCGTCTTATTTTAGTGTATGTACATTACTGTATAAGAAATTTCTTAAATAATGATGTTTACTAAGTAGTTTTCACAAGACAGTTACATTACTATAAAACATCATGTTACGATTCTTCATTATTA